ACAGTAACTTGGTCACACTGTTGTTTCATATCCTCCTTTCTGGAAATCCAATCCCTACACTGTAGCCCCAGGGATCTTTCATAAGTGCAGACCTCATCTGGGACCCTCCGACGGCTTGCTGCTTGTCTAAGAGGAAACCAGCTTCCCTGGGTAGTCTACATACCCTCCAGCTCTGGTGGGCTCTCCTCTCTGACCTCAACGCTCCCTTTCCACCCACAGTCATTTTTCTGTTTCTCAGCAAGCCAAGTGTATTTCTGCCTTAGTGGGAGCTGTTTCCTGACAGGCTCCCTTCTAAAGCTCAGTCTTAGTTGAAGCACCACTTCCTTAGTGAGGTCTTCCCCTGTCTCTTAACCTATTGAGGCCTGTTGCTCACCTGCTTAATTTTTTTCATCCCCTTGCTTTTTTTTTTTTTCCTGGACCTGCGGCCGTCTGTGCTCATATTGGTTTTCATTTAGTCTCTGCTCTGCTAGAACACGTGGACCTCTTCAGCCACCAGTATGTCATCTGACATAGATCAACGATAAACATTTTCTGTTCAGATGAACAGTGGAAGAATTTCAAGCCCATTTACCTTTTCTGGTCATCTCTTCTTCCTCTTCATCTTATATTTTAATCATCATTCTCTTGTCTTTTTTTTTTTTTTTTTTTTTGAGAGAGATTTTTGTTATAGGGTGTGTGTGCTTGCCAGAGAGACAGGAAGTTAGAAGTTGCCCCCCCGCTACCCGGAGGATGGCCATGCTGTGATCCCTTCTCCTCCAGTCTCTTCTTGGGATCTTGGGGCACACACACACACACACACACACACACACACATCTGGTGTGAGTTTTAAGCTGCTAGATCTGGGACTTGAACTGAGGTCAACTACATGGGAGTCCAGTGACATAACCATTACAGCATCTGCTGGTCTCCAGTTCTCCTGTCTTTCTCACCAAACACTAAACATGAATTGCCCTCTTTAGATTTTATGTCTTTGCATTTGTTGTCAATTCAGTTACTTATTCCTTCTCTGCGCAAAAAATTCCTGGGACCAGCAGTTGGAACAATGGCTATGTCACTGGACTCCCACGTAGTCAACCACAGTTCGAGTCCTGGATGCAGTGGCTTAAACTCACACTGGGTGAGTGTGTGTGTGCGTGCATGCCCAAGATCTTGAGAGGAGGGTGGAGGAGAAGGATTGCAGCATGGCCATCCCCCCCTGGGGGGTGATTTCTCACTTTCTGTCTCTTTCTGGCAAATGTATGTGCCCTATAGCAAAAACCTCTCCAAAAAAAAAAAAAAAAAAATCCTAATTACTCATCAATACTCAGCACTAATGTTACTTCTTCCGTGATTTTGACACCTCCCCTAGTAAGGGTCAATTTCTCCCTCTGGCAAGAAGAAATGTGCGCCCAGAACACTTTGTATAGACAACTTGATCAAACTGGGTAGCAATTACTTACATACCACAAATGCATATTTATTTAGACCCTGGATAAGCCCCCAACCCTATATAAAAGTCCTTTTCATTTTCCCTATGATAAGCTCCCTCAGAGAAGGATCGCTGAATGGTGGGTAAATGGCCAGTACTGGTACATAGTCAGACATCTAGCACCTAGCTCTGTGCTAAGTGCTTCAACCCTCATAATGACTGCAGTGAGGCAGGCACTCTTATTATTATCCTTACTTTACAGATTAAAAACTAAAGCTCAGTGAGGCTAGGTAGCCGGCCCCTCCCCCACCACCTGGAATTTAGCAGCAGGTGGTCCTGCAGCCAGCTGTGGTGGGTACCTCTGTGAAGTCCCATTTGCTCTCCAGCTATAAGCATAGCAGGGAGGTGCTCAGATCCGTCCTGTTTTCCTGCCTTGAAAACAGGGGAGCAGCTCTGCTCAGAGAGGGGTCTGCAGGGACCCCCCCCCCCCCCCCCCCAACGCAGCAAGGTCCTCCCTCATGGGGACACCGATGTCCCTCTGCCAGTCAGATGGAGGGGCACTGTGATGAGGCTGCCCTCTGCACACCTGTGACTGTGCCATCCCCAAGGGCAGCCAGATGTCCTTGGGGGCCTGCCTCCTGCTGCCACATGCTGCTTAGCCATGTGGACATAAGCCGCTCTGCCAGCTCGCTCTTGAGCTAATGTGAAGGAAATACGGAGCTCTGGGCAGGAAGGTGAAGCACCTAGAAGGCAGAGGAGACAAGGGCAGAAGGACCTGCAGCCTCATTATCCTTTCCTTTAAAGAAAGAATTTTCCATAGCAAAGCAATAAGTAAGTTCTATCAGGGAATAAGGGCACCAGGCCACAATAACCTTTTCCTCTAAGAAGTGCAGAATCACTCTATTGCAGAGTATTTCCAGGCATAAAGAAGAGGGTGCTGGAATCTATCAGCTGTAGCCTGCTTTCTATCTGTGGGCACCATAGGAGTTTCTAGCTCATCAGGAAGATTCTGGTGAGAGTGAGTTCTAAATCACAGGCAGTGCTATTCAAAGTGTGGTCCTCGGACCAGCATCATCATTACTGGTTGCTCGTTAGAGATTTAGATTTTGGGTCCCACTCCAGATCTGACCAACCAAAATCTATATTTGAATACTGCCTACCCTACCCCATCCCCCCTGTAGGGACTCTGCAAGCACATTAAAGTTTGAGAGGCCCTGACCTAGATGCCTGATTACAATGTAAGCTTGGAGCTTTGTGCCTTAAAAATTCTGATTTGCATGATCAGGATGAGAGGCTCAATCAGGATGAGAAATCTAACAAGCACCACCAGTACACTCACCTTCCAAGCAACTGTGGTCTAGAGGGAGTTGTGTGGTGGAAATAGTCAGGCTCTGTTTTTAGACAGTCCTGAGATCAAGTCTTAGCTCTCCCATGTATAAGTTAGGTAATCTTCATTAACTCCTTCAGCTCACTGAACTCCAGCTTCCTCAACTATGAAGTGGGGGATTAATGCTTACACCTTCAGTGGTGAGGGTTAAAGGGGGAGACTCATGTAAAGTGCCTAGTACCAATTCTGTGGCACATAGTGGGTGCTTGAGAATGGTAGGCATTACAGCTGCTAGGTCAAAGAGTTCAGTTGATAGGAACATTAAACAAAGAGAGGGTTGAGAGAGTGGGTTGAGCCAGAGAGTGTTAGCTTCTATCACAGGGAAAGGGAAGACCCAGGAGGGCTCCCTGAGGTAACGGCTGTGGTTTCTCTGTTACCTAACTCGACCTTAAAGGGCACAGAGAAAGGATTAGGCTTTAGCAACTACCACATTTTATCATACGTTAAGAATCACCTAGGAAGCTAGTTAAAAACGTGAATTCTTGGGTGCTGCTTCCCAGATATCCTGTGTCATCAGATCTGGGAGATGGCCCAGGGATCCGCATTTACACCCCCAGGTGATTCTGATATCTAGGTCCTCCAGCCTTACCCTGAGAAACAGAGATTTAGGGAATATGTGTGTTCATCCAGTGAATGTAGAGCTTGATACACGTGAGGTCTGGGATGGTATTGGGAAAGCCACACGAGGATGAATAAGACCCAACTCGGTGCCCACCCATTCTAGGAGCTGGGGCCTCCAAGGTGAAGACAGGGTCTGTGCTCTAGGCTAGGATGTCAGTAGGAAAAGCAGCCAAGAGGAGTAATGGAAAAAACTCATACCTGGGCTTCTGCTGCTTCAATGTTGTGGGAGAGATTTCCATTTTGAACAGGTTCTGAAGCATCACCAGGTGGTGTCATGTCAACATCTGTGCTGGTGCTGTTTGGGAGTTCGATTTTTTCTGTGACATAATTTAAACACACACACACAGAGAAAGCAAATGGTATCAATGGGGGTCTGGAGCCATATTGAAAAGAACATCCTAAACTGTGGGACAAAGGAGAAGATAATGGAGTCTGAGAGGTGGTACAGCCCCAGGCTGGCATTGAGCCAACAGCCAAGGCGATTACCTTTCTTTCCCCGGCCTTTTAGCATCCCTCCCTCCTCTCGTCTCTAACAGCTATCTGGCTTCCGTCTGACCCAATGTCTTTGCTTAAATGTCCTATCAGTTTCCATGGTCTGGCTTGCTCTAGTCTAGGCCAACCTCCCAACTACAATAGCTCTTCAAGGACATAAACAACATGTTAAATCTGCAGCCATAACCAATCCGTGCATTGTTGTTTATGCCCAGGACCACACCCCTCAGATATTTTCTTACAGCAGGATCTATTCTATTCTATTGTACTCTGAAAATGATATTGGTAAGGGCATTAGGGTCCTAGATTTTACTCTGCCACTGTCACACTGTCACCTTCGGCAAGTCCTCTTCTCCCACTGGGTTTTGAGGACCTTATCTGTGAAATGAGGGAGTTCAACAGGAGAAGCTCCTAGGTCCATCACTTTCAGCTCTAATTCTCTTAGGATCTTTGAGTATGAACTGCCTGTATCTTGGTGGCCATGGGACAGCAGGCTTGAGAACCCAGCCTTTCTCCAAATACCTGGGGAAGGCAACTTAGCATAGGCATCTTGTTGTAGGCAAAGCCAGTGGGAACTGAACAAGTAATGAGGCCAAGTCCAAGTCATTTCTGAATAAGAGGACATCTGGCTAGAGTGAAGCCAGGGATCAGAAAGTCTACCCAAGTTTCTCATTGGGAGTTGAGAAGTGCCTCCAGGATAATGATTAAGCACTGAGACTTTTGGATGCTGGGATTCAGACAGGCCTAGGTTCACAGGTCGGCTCTATAGTTTATGCTGTGTGATCCTTGGCAAGTGACAAAACCTTTCTGATTCCGTTTCTTGCTCTATAAAATCGGGGTGATAATAACACTACTACTACTATGACAGTTCTACTGCTGTAGCAACAACAGTATGATCAAAAAGAACTTCTAAAAATATTTTTTATATTTTTATTTATTCTTTTTAACTGTATATTCACTGTATATCATTGAGGCATACAAAATGAATTTTCCCATCTAGAACACACTGTCTATTGGGTCAAATACTAAATAAGAAAACGCACATGGTTAGCACTTGTGCCTGGTGCAAACAAGCAAGAAACAAACCATTCAGATCTTTATCATAGTCACTGCCTCTCACAGGGAAATGTTTCAGGGCTCAGAGGAGCACCTCCAGGTGGCCCATTACTCAGGTACCACCGGAGTCTGCTGGAACACCAGTGGGAAGGAAATAAAGTAGTCCCTATTAGAACCACACACTCCGGCTGTGCTTGGCCTAGACTTGGATTTTAGGAGAGAATTCAGATGTGTGGTTCAGAGCCAGGGTCGCTGGGAGTGTCAGAATGCTTGTCAGTATCAGACATGAGCAGTATCAGGCTCCTCAGAGTAACAGAATATGTTTTTTTAGCAACTTTGAAAGGACTAAACACTTCTACCATAGATGCTTAAAAAAATAATTTGAGAGTTACATAAAATGGTGGAGAAAGGACCAAACTGTAGGGA